TGTGTGACTCAGGACAGAGTCTGCATTAGATGAGCTGCATCTCAATTGTGCACGTGTGTGCACGTGCGTCATGCACGGTGTATGTGTCTGTGTGCATGTCTGTGTGCAGGTGTGCATGTCTGCAACATGCATAGTGCATGTGTCTGTTGCATGTGTGTGAGACATGCACATGTGTGTGCATGTGTATCTGTGGCATACACCGTGAATGTGTCTACATGCATGTGTGAATGTACATGTGTAATTACATGCATGTGTCATGCAAGGTACATGTGTGTGCGCACATGTGTGTGCCTGGGAGAGCAAGGGGATGTGTGTCCTCCCAACCCCCGCCCTAGAAAGACTCTGCTGACTAAGGAGGGCTGTGGGTCAGCAGGTGCAAGGTCACAGCTGCTGCTCACCTGTGTATGGCCGGCCTGATGGGGGCAGTGCTGCTCGGCATCCACAGGACCCCTCAGTGCCTGCCCCACCATGCTGGAACATATATTTAATTTAACTATAGTGGACATTCAGTATTATTCAGCTTCAGCTTCAGGTGGGGATGAGCATATGTTTCTGTTAGTTATATGTCTGCAGGAGAAATTGTGGAAGAGTTTGACATGGACCTGAAGATTTCCTTCTGTCTTCATGGACAGCAAGGCATTGTCCCACACACGCCTGCCGCCCCCTGGCTCAGTGGGGCTCCGCGCTTCTCACGGTCTTCGAGCTATTTAACAACTCTGCCCGCTGCACAGGGTTGACGGCAATGCCAAGCTCTGTGGGAGGACACGTGATTCTTTCCTGCCTGCCATTTATAAACTCTCTATAAACTCATTCCCGCATTCTTGATCCAACTATATAAACGTACTTTGAATTCTACTTTGACTTGGTCATAACACCTCAATTAATGAGTTCAATACAATTTTGAGATGTGTTCATTATATATCTATACGCGGGCCATCATCGTGCCCCGTTTTGAAGACTGTTCTCTAGCACGTTGCTAAGTCTTCTGCCCCGTGGCCCCACTTACCTGTGTCCAGGAAGGTCATGGCTGGGGGCCGGACACCAGATCGTGGGGAGCAGACCCACTCTGGCCACCCCACTCCTCCAGGCCTCTGCTTCAGGGCACCCCCAGGAAAGCTGCTCCTGACCCCACAGACCGGGCTTTGTTCCTTCTGTTACGCGGCCTCATAGCCTCGATACTTTGCATTCACAGCACTTGTCACAATGGTCCTCACATGACTTACTTAACGTCTGCCTTAGCGTTGGCCCCTGGCTCCCTTGCCGCCAGAGGCCATGTCTGTCTCATTCAGTGCAGTGTGCTTGACATCTGACAGTGATGGCAGAGTTACCCCCTGGTTAATAGTTGTCAAGTGGACAAGTGGACGGCATCTTCACTGACCTTCCATGA